ATAGGCAAGAAATAATAAGCAAATAACATAGGTACAAACCTCTTTTATTTTTAAGTCAACAGAAAATTGAAATATACTTTTTAAAGTTTCTAATACTAGGAGAAGATATCATACAATGTCTTTTTAAATAAATGGTAAGTCAAAGATACAGTATAAATCTTAGAACAAAAATTAAGATTAAGCAATATTCAGAAAATTAAATGATTCAAAATCTCTTTCAGTTTTGACCTAACACATGCACACAAGATCTGCCAGGTCCACTCCCTAGTGGAAGACAGCAGCCAACCAGGCACTGTCAAGTAGTGCTGATCAGAAGTGAGTGATAGTGTTTTTAAGCTGCTGAGAGTTTGAATTGCTTCTATAGAAAAAGCTAATACAGGCATTAGAAATTGTGACTCTATAACAAAAACCTGAATTATTAAGATCAATATTTTGTGTTATTATAGCAATAAACTAAAACATCTTGGTAAGTTTTCTTCACATTTAGAGGGATGTCCGGGATGATCAGACTTAAAATACAGGCTATGTGGCTTGAAGATATGAAACAGGATGAACCTGAGGTCTGAGGAGCCCAACTGATTGCCAGGTAGGAGAATCAGCTTTGTAGGTGAAGATGCCCTTGACAGAGAATACAAGTAGTGCTTTCAAATATGAACTCCAAATTGTAGGTACAAGGGTTAGATGCTTCAAATTGAGGCTGTACATTTTCAACCGAGCTGCAATTTGAGTGAGAAGCTCCAGGAAACATATTCACAATGGGTAACAGAATAATCAGAGAGACTGGTTAATACTACATTAAAAGAAAATAGAAACGCTAAACTGAATTTTAAGGCGATATCACTCCTTGACAGATTTTTTAAAAATCACATATCAAGTGATAGTTACGTTTCTGTAGCATTTTATTCAATTGAGGTCACATTTATCTTTAGACATGATCATTCTGAAATTTTCAAGGGCTTGAAAGGTGAGCAGAGTGATGTGTTGTTTTTTTTTTTTGTTTGTTTGTTTGTTTAGCAGAGACTACAGGAAAGTGTTTGTCTTTATGAGAAGACAAGTTTTGCTCTTTATCAATTGTGGAACAAAACATATAAAAGGAATTACTTAACACAAAATCCAGGCAAAAGATGAGAAAAGGAAAAGAGTCCTACATCCCATTTTTTTTTTCCTCATTTGGAGTTCTTATATCTTACTGCAAAGTGGTATAGACCATGATGCAAGGAATTAAGAATCCTATGATCAATTTAATCTTTATTTTCAGAGAGCACTGAAACTCTCAAATTATCTATTGCCTCTGCTAATTCAGTTATTGATTAACTAAGAGGTGGTTCCTGATTTCTGAAAATTCCTAAATGGAGACTAAAAGGGGAAGGGAAGGAAAAGAGAAGCCTTTATGAGTAAAAAATGCTTCATTATTAGAAGCCTTGTATTCTGGAATAAAACCTAACAGTGACCTTGGTAACAGGCCTAAAAATCAATCAAGTATCAGATTTTAGAAATCCTCTTTCTCTATTACCCAAGGTCATAGCAATGACTCATCTGAAAAATTCTAAGCATTCATTGCTTGCAAAAATTATACCTATGCTATTTCTGAGAGATTTCTTTAAATTTTAAATGTCTGTTTTGCCACAGCATGATATCTCTTCTTTAGGGTTTGCCTATTTTTTTTTTTTCAAGTACTAAGTGATCTCTCACTTCTTAAACTCTTTTTCTAAATTCCTCTTTCAAAGTCTTTGCAGAATGGTATAGAATTTTACTGTAGAAAACAGTCTTAGAACTTACCTCTTGTCCCCTCTGTCACCAAATTCTAGAGAAGAAGAATGAAACCAAGGATCCTTGGGTTCCCAATTAGGCTCTAGCAGGTAACACAGCCCCACTATTATTCTGGTTTTTCTTCCTTCATTGAGATAGTTTGGGAAGACAAGATCTCACTACTGACCCTTTGTGGCAGCAAAGAGAAAAACATTTTCAACAGTAAAGTGAGCTTTTGGTGTTCTGTGTTTCTTCTGATTTGATGTTGATGACACTGACTTTTACTAGTCATTTAGCACATATGAATCATGGTATAGCTTCAAAATACCTTTCTGTAAATAGCAACTTCTTAGTGTGAATCAGGCTGGCTTTCTTATTTCTTCCTCCCCCAAACAGCTTTCCTGTTCACACAGATTTGATGCACACAGCATTGCCCAGATGTTTAGCATCTAAACTCATAACGTATGCATGGTACAGGGCAGAAGGCTTAGGATAAGGATGAGAAAAGCCTTACCTCTGGGAGTCCTGCTTGCTGTGGACACAGTTGGGAGGGTGGCAGAGGGGCTGGGAAGAGGTAGAAGGACAATCTACTTGCTGATGGCAACAAGCATTTACAGGTGTTTTAGCTCATCTCTAAATCTTAGACTGTTGGAAGACCCTTCTTTGGCCAGGAAATCTGTGGCACAGGTTTCCTGGCGAAGTGGAGAAAGGTGAAGTAGAGAAAGAGCCTATTGGCAAGGTCCAGTTCACCCCTGACTGCTTCCAGCCTCAAGGAGTGAAAATCAATTCTCAGGAGAAATCCAGAGGAGTATGGTAGGGCAGCAGTACACCAGCGCTGGACTGGTCCCAGCTGGTGTTGCCAAGAGGGAATAAACGCCTGGAATGTGCCCCCTGGAACAGCGATTCTGAAAAATTTCCAAAGCTGGAATTAGAATACAGCTGTCCTTGGGCATGACCCCAAAATAAACAAAACAAAGCCCTCTTTGAATCATAACCTTTGAATCTGACTCACACACCAGTCTTTTCAGTGTCCTGGGAAGGAAATTTAGGGATTGAGGATTAAACCAGGTGTTTTGATTTTCAGCCTTCCTTTCTCAGCAACTCCTACTCTCCTGAGAGTGGTTCAATTTTTTTAGACTTTGATTTTAAAGAAAGACCACTTTGTACCAGCAGGTTAGGGGGTTTGAGGTCTTGAAAGAGCCATTAGAAATTACTGTCAGCTCTTCCCTTAAAGCTATCTCTGCCCCAGGGACACATGGCCTGCCAAAGGGCCCCATAAATCTGATTACCCTCACCTTTCCTCTTCCTCCTTTCACATTAAAAATTACTCTGATTTATCAACGGCTTTAGAAAAGTTAAGAGAAATGAAACTGAACAGAAATTTCCTGCCCTCCACTGCCACTAGTGCACTGACGATGCACCTTGTGAATTATGTTTTCAGAGACTTAGAAGTGTCATAAGGAGCTGCAGCATATTTAGGTCATCTTCCTCCCCCTGCCACCTCCCCTGGTCCCTCTGATACCATAAAGATCCTCTAAGAGTCTTCAATCTCATATGCTAGAAATTCTCACCTAAAGGTACATGGCCCACGCTACTGATTCTGTCCTCTGTTGATTTGCAAAGCCCTGCCTTATGAACCTTGAAATGCAATATCTGCATTTCCTGTCCATAGAAACAGCCAAATGTATTCTCTTTCTTAAAATGCAAACTCATATTTTGACATCTTTCCCAGTTGCAGCAGCAGCTCCTTTACTAACTCGTGTGCCCCATATCCCCATTTTTGCTTCCCCCCTCGCCACACAATCTCAGATCTTCAGGTTATCAGATGAAAAGCGTCATTATCCTTCATCACTTATGGCAAGACTCCTCTTCCACTGAGCAGTTGTTTACAAAGGCAGTTAAGTGTGGACTGAACTGCATCACATTCTATCAGAGTTCCGCCCTTGTTTCACTGGGAAGATTCAGTGGTCTGTGGCTCCAAATGGTTTATCAAAATCTATTCCTGCTATCAAGCATTCTGGTCTCCTTGAAGCGGATTACAAGTTTCTTTATATCCGAGTCAGAAGGAACCAGAAAACTAACCAACTGAAATGGGGGAAGCCAGGTTTGAAAGACAGATATCATTAAAAGAGGAGCAGTGCCTAGAGGAGGGTAGGAAGGGTTATGCTTGGAAAGAGGACAAGGTATAGCTATCCGAGGGCAATGGCCCACACTGATGAAACTGAGGAGTCGCATCAATTGATAATTCCGAGGAAATTACCCTGAAGAGAACCCTAGTTAACTGGAGCTCTGGGTTGTGCCTGAGATGGAATACACAGACAATGAAAACGTCATCTGTTGTCATTCTCCGTGCAGCCTTAGCACACAGCAGATTCCAGGGAGTATTTGTGTAATAAATGAGGCGCCGGCCAAACTAACCCGATGTTTTCAAACACACTATGAAATTCTGTGGTACAGTCACTTCTGTGCACACACAGCCCCGACCTGACTTACAGGAGCATGTAGGGCATCAGGGGGTCACAGTTCCTGGGGCTGCACGCGGAGAGAGGCGAAGAGGAAACAAGGTCAGCTGAGCAGACAGAAGACCTCTTTGAGGTTGGTCTTGTGCATTGTGTGGGTCTTGCCCAACTTCTGAGGGTTCCACCTGTGGGCCCCAGGGAGCCCAGGAGTTCGAGTCCTGGGGTGGTAAGAGGCGAGGTTCTTAGGAGCAGCGCCAGTCTTCGCGCGCCCCTGTACAGAAGCCAGGTGCGAGCACGTTGCAGTGCAGAGATGAAATGCTCCCACAATCAGCCCAATGAGCGAGGTCCCTAACACAGCGGGGGCCCAAGGGTACCTCTGGGATTCCTGGGGTGCTGCCATCCCCTCATCAAATCACCCCATCAACTCCTGGCCCGCTGCTTTCCCGCTTGCGCACCCCACTCGGGGGTGGTCCTGGGGTCGCCGCGCCTCTTCGTGCCGCGGGCCCGGGCGGGGGGCCAAGGCGGGAAGCGCAGTGGGCGGGGGGCGCAGGATCCACCGCCCGCCCTCCGCGGCTGCAGCTGCAAAGGCGGTGGCAGCGAGCGGGGCGGAGGGTGGAGCGGAGGCTGGAGCCCCGGCCGGGAGGGAGGAGCAGGGAGGAGGGGGCCGGGAGGCTGTGCCTGGCAAGCCCGAGGGGTGCTCGGTGTTCCCCCGCCCTCCTTCCGGGAACGAGGATGCGGGCTCAGGGACTGGGGCTGCTGGGCTGAGGCCGAGGCAGGGAGCTGCGGCGCGCGGCTCCGCGAGGTGTCTCGGTGCGGCGCGCAGGGGGGAGGCGCAGACCGCGAGGCGGCGGAGGAGGGGGCGATGCCCGGGGCCGCCGCCGCCGCGATGCTGCCGGCCCAGGAGGCTGCCAAGCTGTACCACACCAACTATGTGCGGAACTCGCGGGCCATCGGTGTGCTGTGGGCCATCTTCACCATCTGCTTTGCCATCGTCAACGTGGTGTGCTTCATCCAGCCCTACTGGATCGGCGACGGTGTGGACACGCCGCAAGCCGGCTATTTCGGGCTCTTCCACTACTGCATCGGCAACGGCTTCTCCCGCGAGCTGACCTGCAGGGGCAGCTTCACGGACTTCTCCACGCTGCCCTCGGGCGCCTTCAAAGCCGCCTCCTTCTTCATCGGCCTCTCCATGATGCTCATCATCGCCTGCATCATTTGCTTTACCCTCTTCTTCTTCTGCAACACGGCCACCGTGTACAAGATCTGTGCCTGGATGCAGCTCACCTCCGGTGAGTGAGCGCTCACCGCCGCGGAGCCCAGGGACCTGCGGGCCCGGCCGGCCGAGAGGGGGCGTGGGAGGGACGGGGCGGGAGCCGCTGGGCGCCGGGCAACTTCGTGTTCCCGGCTGCAAGGCTAGGGGGCAGGATCCCCTGAAGCCGGAACCCGCGGGGTTCCTCAGCTCCGCACTGGCGTGGGGTCTGAAGCTTTGGTGAACCTCCCAAGTGCGAGGGACGCCACCCAGAGGGGCGCCACCCAGAGGGGCGCGCAGGAGGCAGAGCGGCTGTCCGGCTGGGTCGGCTGGGAACTAAAGGTGGGGGTCGGGGCTGCTCGGGGCTAAGCTAGGACTGACACTGGGAACTGAAAAGCCAATTTGGAGACTTACTGGTGGAAACAGCAAACCAGCCCGCTCTGCCTTTCTCTGGGTCTATTGGTTTCATGGCTTTGTTGTGTTGTGTGTGTGTGGTGGGCGTGTGAGTGTGTGCATGCGTGTGTGGTGGGCTAGTTGAAGTGAAACTGTCCTGGCCAATTACAGATATTTTATCGTCCGTCTGATTGCGAGTAAATCCTAATTCTGGTTTGGATCTCACCCTTTTAAGAAAGATGCAGCTTGGTGTGCTCTGTAGCAGTTTCCCCCCCGCCAAGCGCTCAGCTGTGCCTCCTCGTCAGGGAGCGGTTCTTCTTCAAACAGGCAGAGGTCTCGAGGGAGCCAGCATTTCTCAAGATCTCCTTGGGGGAAAGTGGCATCAGGGAAGCGGGCAAAGAGCAAGCCGTGTTCGTTAGCATCTCTGATCACTCTGCTGTGCACGCTAGATCGCTGCGTGCTGGAGAGTATGAAAGTACTTTTTTTTTTCCCCCTGAGCATCAAAGTTGCTTCCTCACCCAGGAGGGACGGGGAGTGCATTTCCTGATGGCTTTGAAGAGTCCTAAAACAAAACTGGCTCCGATGATGTGCCGTTCTCCCTGCCGGCCACCTTGCGTGCCCTTCTTTCCCAAGTCAAAGGCTCTTGGATCCTGGGCACGTTGGTGAGCCACACTGTCCGGCTCCTTTTGATCTCCACACCCGCTCTTTCGGGTGTGGAGATACAGTGAATGTCCTAGGCAGCTAAACTTTCACATATGCCATTTATTTTACTGTTCCATTCTTTAAGGATCTTAAAGATTTGTTGTTCGCCCTGTTCCTGGAAGGTTTTCTGGGGACTTGGGATTGAATTTGCTTGAGTTTACCAGCTTACCAGCCTTTGAGGGTCATTAAATCCCTAAAGGTACAGGATAACAACATTAAGCTTCATAATCTTCTGTCATTATGGTGACATAAACGCTTGTGGAAAACTAAGCAAACTTGTTTGGAACTATTTATTTTGTATTAAATGTGTCTTGGCTGTCTTTGATTTGCATTTACTGTGAAAGTGTGTGTGTAAAAATCCAGAAATGAGCACCAGCAGCATCCCATTTGCTCCCTAAGCCAGTGTCCTCCTGAGATGAGAGTTCACCTTCCCCTTCCACCACCGGCCCCCAATTCCCTCCCTCTGTGTGTTTCTACATAATGTTAACTTCCATGAGCATCCTAAGAGCAGAATCACTTTGAGATTTGGAATGAATTCCTATCTTATGATTATTCTTGACACTGAGCTCTGGTTTGACTTTGAAAAGAACAGGACAAATAGGATGCGGATGTTTTAGAAAAAGATTTGACCCTGCACAGCTAATTTTAATTTTTCTGAGTTAAATGACCTATTTAGACTGGTGATTCAAATGAGATTGTTTTCCAAAGGTCTGAAAGTAATTTGCAGATGATTTTTTAACAATATACTATGAAATGTTTTACTTTACAAGATTATTATGCTCTCAACCTGCATTTTCAGGGCAAGAAGAAAATTACTTTTCAGAGAGCATTACCAGCTTTTAAATTTATACAAACTACAACTGTTACAATGCTGTGTTTCTTTCCTTTTCCTGGAATAGAGCACAGAAAAATCATTTGCTGTGAGTTCTTGAAATTTAATGTCATATTTTCAGGCATTTAACATAAATATACTATTCTGTTCCACAGCATGCAAAACATGGTGATACCTTTGTATGATAGAGGATAGAATCATATTTACTTCCTTTGGGGAAACTAGCTTTTTCAGTAGCATGCTTTAAAACTTTATTTGTAATGATGTGTATTTTAAAAAGAGGACTGCATTAGGATGACAGGTTAAATAAAGATCGCAATTATATTCACAGAGTTTTCTTTTTTTAAAGAAATGAGGTATGTAAGATGTTTTTGAAAAACATCACATTCAGCTTGGTTTTCAGAGTTTTAAGTCACATAACACAAACAAGAAATTCAGCTAAAATGTTTTGAAAGTCTAATTTCTGACCTTTGCCCTATTCTTCATCTGCATCACATAGGCTTCTATGTATTTAGTTTAAGTATCTTCAGTAATCTCAACTCTAATTTTCTCAATATGAAGCAAGAGATTTAAGGTAGCAGTTTCTTACTAGAGACTAACCCTCATTAGAAGTCAAATTATTAACTTGTCTATTTAGCTATCTAGGCATTTTACTATCATAACATAAATCAGAGCAATTCAGACTATAAAATGCTATATGGAATGATACATTAAGGTGACAAAGCAAGAGATCTTGTGGCAATACATTGAGAATTAATCTTTTGTGCTGCAGAGCAATAAACCAGAAAAATGACTTAATTTGTTGGACCTAGGAATACTATAAGTCATCTACAGGGGCCTGGCAATAATACAACTCATCCATTTAGCAGGATGATACACATACAACTGTAGACATCATTGTGAACACCTTACCCTTTACATCATTATCAACCTCAGGAGAGAGAAACTAGGAAACAGTGCTAGAGCTGAAATAGCATATTACTTTTTGACATAATCCTGTACTTATGAATAGTTTCTAATATAAAAACTGAAGACATAAAAATAATATATAAAATAGATAATTATAATGGTGCAAAACTTTCCCAAATCTACAGACTCCTTCAGAAGAAAGAAGAAACTTTCCTGTTGTCTGCTTCACTTGCACCAAAAAGAACATAGATCTGTAATTAGCCTGGTAGAGTCATAAAGTCTAGCATTTCTTTTCCTTGAAATAAAACAGTATTTCAGTCTGTTTCCAAGTCTACAAATAGCCAGATCTCATAAAGATGGTTTGTTTATTTTGCTACCAAGAAATCTTGCCCACCATTGTTTCCAGCACCCTATATATTCACTATTTGGGACCAAAGAAATCTTTTCCTTTGTATATAAACTAAAATATTAAAGTAGAATGTAAGTTTCTGTGTCTACAATGGATTTCTTGGTGGAGGGCCAAAGATGGGGAGTTATTCCTTTCATGTGGACCCAGGTTGGACTTTCTCCTTCAGGAGGGATAAGTGCAGCACTGCATGACATTCCTTGGATTCTGCGTCTCTCCTCATTATGAGTGTCCCCAAAAGAAGGGCCACCAAGATGGCAAGCTTTATGGTAGGTGTTAGGCTGAATTGTTTAGTCACTTCCCCCGAGCTTAGGTCCCCAATTTCTGTAGCCATCTTGCTTTCTTAGGTTGTATAACTTTGTCATATTGGTGAGATGTGAGTCACCAAACATCATCACTGTCATTGCTTAGCCTCAAGGGGAGGCTTTGTGATGTTTTACTATTTCTTCTCATGGAATCCTGGTATTTGCTTATAGGTCTCAACAATATTTAAAATTAAGGACTGTTTGTGAGTTTACTGTCTATCTTGTTCAGTACATTGAAAGTACCCTAAGGATTTATTATTTTAAATATGGCAGAGTCCAAGTACGTGGATTACAAGGTTAAAAAATGCAGGTGGGAAGCCTGGCTCTGACATCATGTGACCTGTGAAATTAATCTTTCTATCTGTCCTATGAAAAATAGGCATGTAATTATATAATTCCCAGGATTTAATGCAAATATTAAATGAGCTCGTGTATATACTCAGTGCCTTGCTCGTAAGCAGTCATGACAGTAGCGCTACCATTACTGTTGCCGACTTGCTATTATTGCTTGATCCTGGCACACCGCGGTTTCTCAATGTTTGGCCTGGTGGATATTCAAAGTATTACTGTGTTAATGAATAAAAAATGATTAGTGGGATAGAGAATGAAAGGAAGGAGTGACCTGACAGTGCCCATATATTGCAGTGAGAGAGAAACACTCTGAAAGTCATGACTCCCCCTTCTCAGTGGCGCCATCAGGACCATGCTGAAGAGCACCTTTAATGGCGATGGGGGTGATTTGACAGCCTAACTTGTGATAATCTTTTTCCCAAAGGGAAGCTTTTCTGATGTATATGTACTCATCTTTACTGTAACACTGGGAGATGTTCGGTCATTGTCTCAGGCTTCAGGAAATCCTCCCTTACTCTTTAGAGACAAAAAAATCACATCATTCAAAATGGTGGCTTATGTAAAGATCAAGAGAGAGGCTTTCTTTCATGAAGAGAGGGAGCCTGGTGCAGGTTGGATTTTCCTCATGCACTTCAGGAGCAATACAGACTGGAGAAGCAGGTAGGTTTTCTGGGCCTTCCCATCTCTTGCTTCTGTGCAGACAGACTCTTGCTGGACTCCAGAGAGCATGGCCCACCTGCTCAGGTGGGGCAGTGCTGTGGGTGTGGGTCTGTGAAGGGGTGCTCTGAAGATGAGTTTGGGATTTACCCAGGTGTAGATTCCATGTTCTGCCCAATCACCACGCCTTACCCTTTTATCTAATGTGGAGAAGTAAGGGTGCTTAGCTCCAAGTGGGGTGATTCTGTCCTAAATTCAATATTGTGGAGTGTCCCCAAAGACCCTTTTACCCTACAGTAACATTGAAAGACTTCTCTTGGGTATGGAGGAAGACTATGTACTGCTAGTGAAGGAAGTTTTTGTTTTCTAACAACACATTCCGCTTATTATGTTGCACATAATAAATACCTACAATTTTATCTGTCCATTTGAAAAATTAACATATTGTTAAAAAGATCTTTCTATTTATAAAAACAAACTGGCAA